TATCATAAAATTTGAGATCTTTAATATTAAATTTTTTATTTTTTTATGTATATTTAAAATAAAAAAATATTCTTAATTTGTGATCTAAAAACACAAATTAGAAAAATGTGTTTAAAACTATTAAATTATATCATATAATATAGTTATAAAAAGTTCACGAGTTTCAACCCCTGAGCAGATTCAGTAGTCCAACGGTTAGGATAATTGCCTTCCAAGCAATCGATCCGGGTTCGACTCCCGGCGGACGCAGAACAATATTTTTTCACCTTTTTATTTAGAACCAATCAGGTTACAGGAAATGTCAGCCAGGAACCAACCAGATATGTACCCGCCAAAACGAATCCCTGACCTCAAAAGGGCATTCTCGTCAAATTCAAAAACGAGACGCTGAGACGACGCTTTCAGGTATTCGTCGGTGGCTGCCGTCTTCCTGTCTTGGTTCCATGGCCGGCGTTTGCAGCAGCGCTGTCAGGCCTCGCATGATCAGATCCACAGTCGTTGAGCTCTCATCCAGGCCTAACCGAACCGGACCTCCGTTTCCGGTGGTGCGGGTCTCGACGAAGAGCAACGGAGTACGAACGTCCAAAGAGGAAGGTCCGTCTTGCTTATTTATCGGACCGATTGAAACCGCTAGCAAAGAAACCCTAGAAGCTCTATATCGCCAGGTAAGTCGCTGATTTCCGTTTCGGATTCTCAATTTTGTGTTTGATCGGCGTATTTTTTAGGTCACTTCACTATCATTCCCTTGTTTGGATGACGGGGAAGTTTAAGGAATAGGCTGAGAAAACTGTGAATAATTAGGGTTGTAAATTTGGAAATCTGAAATTATTGGAAACTAACGTGTTTGGATATGTTTATCGTGATTCCTAGGCTCGAGATTCATATTACAGTGGGAAGCCTCTGATTGTTGATGACATGTTTGATAGAGTAGAGGTAATTTGATCTTGTGTTTATACACTGGTTTTCTGCTTTTAAGAATACTGTAGTAATCTAACAATATTGCAATGGTTGTTTGATACAGCTGAAATTACGTTGGTATGGTTCAAAATCAGTTGTAAAGTACCCTCGTTGCAGTCTTAGGCGACAATTGACTTATGCAGATGCAGAGGTAATGCACTTCAGAATCACTTATTAGTTAAGGTTATCAATGTTTCAACAAAACGGTTACATAAGCATCTTACTTTCACTTATATTGCTAAACACTAGGTTTCAGTGGGACATTCTGAAAAATCATAAAGAGAATCGTTGATTGATTTTTACGCTCATTGAAACTTGGTTTTGTTTGTGGAAAACAAAATTTAATCACTTTAGCGTTTTACTGCATCTGTTTGGTTACTTGAACCAAAAGTCTGCATCGCGTTTCTAATTGAACTGATGATAAAATTTACAACTATATTCTTGAACTTTTGTTTGTGGATTGGATTTTAGTTGATAATTGCTTGCTTATTTATGGTAAGTTAGGCTTTGATTAATAGATTTATTTATTTATTTTTTAACTTCACTTGAATATTGAGCTGACCTTGATGTAGGGCAGGAAGATCTATCACAGGTTTTTGCATTAGCAAGCATATGGATCCTGATTTTTGCACTCGGTAGTTCAGTCTGTCTTGTGCCTCTAATCTACACCATCAATCTAGCTTATCAAGATCCATTCAGTTCAGAATTCTTCTATGTCAGCCAAGCATCTACTTGGGAGTTTCTTTCCACTGTAAATGGAATTCTCTACATGGTTTTTGGGTCTGTGATTGGGTATCCAACTGCATCAGCTGCTGGTAATGACTGTCTCTCTCTCTTTCTCTCATATGTTGATCTAAGAACACTAACAAAATGCACTTTCTCACAGTTCGGGTGCTTCAAAGACTCTGGAGAAATGACTTGGTAGCACTGAAGGGGGCATGCCCAAATTGTGGAGAGGAGGTGAGTTGAGAATCCAACTATTACATTTGTTCATCTTATGACTTCCAGAGTGCCTTTTTTTCTTTTTCTTTTTTCCTCTTCATCATCCTTTTTTCAGACCAATATGGATATGGTGGATGTTCTCCAACTAACTAGATTGTGAATCCTTCTAATCTCTGTTTTTTGTCTTCTCTGATTTGGTTTTTACCTGTAGGTATTTGCATTTGTCAAATCAGATCAACCCCGTTACTCCCCCCATCGAGCAGATTGTCATGTCTGTGAATGCACTTTAGAATTCCGTACCAAGGCTGAGGTACTGTAGCATGTTTAAGACAGCTAAACTCAATTCTTTTATCTTTATTTAGACATCTAAGCCTTCCAAATATTAGCATGGTAGATGATTTGATTTGATGGTTGTTAAGCTTTAGTATGATATATATGTTTTTCCTGAGATGCTATTTTTCATGATTTATGGATTAATTTTTTTGTGGCGTGCATTTTCTCACGACAGTTGTAGTTTCATGCAGTTCAACTGCTATTCTTTGCTGGCATTTTAGATTCAAAGATCTGACAGCCCCATCCTACACATCCTCTCCTTTGTTTTCCCCTGTCTCTTGTGATGTTGAAATGCTTGATTATGAAGTAGTATGAATAATAGAATAGGAAAGCATAACCATGGGTATTCAGTTACTCTGAATAGGATGTGGTTTTGGTTTTCCTTTCTTACATCACATCATTATAACCATTTGTGCAGAAATCTGTTTCGACATTAGGGAGAAGATGGGTACATGGTCGTGTATACCTTGTCTCACGAAGAGATAGAAGCCAGCGTCAAGTGTGGATCTAAGGCTCTCTTAAGTTATTGGCATGATATTCATATCATCTCAACTCACAAGTCAATTATGGATAGAAACATGATTCTTTTGTCCTTATTTTCTTCCTTTTTAGGGGGTAAGCCGTGACAATCCCCTAGTGTTTTTGTTACAGTAGAATGTAACGCTCGGTTTCATGTATTTTAGAATGAAGTTATTGCCACGGTATGGCACAAATGTTCTACGCATAGCAGTGCACTGTCTTCCTTCAATGCTAAGTAGTTTATGATAATATTACCAAATTTTAATAGAGCATAGAGCCACTTAAGCCCAATTGTTTCTGTTCTGTTCTGTTGATGATCTCAAACTTTCCTCTTTTTTTTTTTTTCGCTTTTCACCCTGTGATCGCCATGACCACACTTCTCATTAAAAAGAAAGTGAAAGCACACCTGGTAATCTTTAGGTCGAGTCCCAGACTTGACATTCCCCATCCCTAAGAGCAGATACTAATTCTAGCAATGTAATTTTCACTTTTGAAATTCGTTCAGATCATTGTGAGTAACGGAAGTGGTTGTTTGCACTTTGCAGTGGCACTACAAATACAAGCATGTAGGAAAATTAACGGAACATGCAACATAGCACCATGCCTGTAGGAAAATTCCCAATATTGGTTGTTGAGAAATGAAAAAAAAAAAAAGAAAAAAAAAGAGGAAAATTACTAAAATAAAAAGAAAAGATCAGCATCTGCCAGACCAAGTTCGTGAAAAATATGAAAAATAATAATTAAAAAAAAAGTTTGTAAAGAATATGTTGCTATTACTAAAGGAAAACAACTAAAATCAAGTTCCTAACTTTATCATAAAGACCAAATTAACTATTAAAGTAAATAATGATGAAAATTTTCTAATTGTCTTCAGAGTGTAAGGACCAGTTCCTCATAACATAGTCGTATTGTTGAAATGGTCACTTTAAGAGTCGGCAATGACAACCAAATTATTGGTACAATGCAAATCAGAAGTGGCCCAAGCTGTA